GATTAATTTAAAATATAAACAACATTGAAACCAAATATTGTTTCTTATAAGGAAGTTATTCAATTAGTTCGCGAACTTTTTGATCACCCCTCGTATAGAATGCACAAAAAAATGCAAAATATGAATGTTTGATATAGGTAGAATCAACTAAACACATGCAATTAATTTTTAGACCAGAAACAAGGAAAGAACTCCAGTGGCTATGAAATTTCTGAATTAAAAAAAGAAAACAATCTCCTCATACATAATGACGCAAATGTTCCGTAGATTTCACATGGATTGCGATGAAATGGTTTTTTCATGTCAAATATTACAGCTTTTTGTCCATCCGTCGACAATTAACTTGCTTATTTCAACTAAAATTAGCGCACACCCTCTAAAGGTAACAAGCCTGGTCCTTCTTTTATAAATATATACATATATATTTACAAATTAAATTGCTCTCTTGGCAAAATAAAATTTTGAGAAACAATTGTTTTTTTTAGCAACAATCTCTTCCGACATACAGAAAACGTAAAAAAAAGCAGAAAAAAATATGCAATTTCCAAAATCACGGATCACAACCTGTATTCTGGTGTCCAACTTCCAAGTATTTTTTTTTACCTCGTCGAACATATCATTTATACAGATAAATAACACAGTTTGGTGCACAAGTGATAATGACCTAACTGTCTTTTTACGTGTGAGAAATGAATAAAAAGTGACATTCTGTATCATACGATGCTCGTAACTACACGTTTCTATGTATTGTTAAAAGTATCACATTTTCATTACAATACTATGGACTCTCAACACTATCGATATTGTCATTTATCATATGAAAAGGTCATACCTAGATCCTTTACCATTGATCTTCTGGCATCTCCTATTAATTTAAAATCTTAACGCAATTATTCTTTGATTAACTCAGCCTTTGGTTTCATCAATATATATTAGACTACAAAGGGTACATTCTATTTTATAGATGAATCATATGGAGATAACGAACAGTATTCAAAAATAAAAGTCCATAAAACAAGACAAAATAGGAGCAGATCATATGCCAAGAATTGAAGTACATATTTTCCAAAGACTTAGTATCGAAGCTCACATAATAATCTTACCAGGAAAAGTCCAATTTGTTATCAAAACTTTAAAATTTTGTAGTTTTGGACGAAACATTTAATAAATAGATGGCATGGAATCAGTAATGGAATGTATATTAAAAATGCGTTTTGTAGCTCGAAAATCAAATAAATCCACAATTAAATCACATTTCTGAAAATTTGACTTTTCTCTCCCGGGTTATCAAAATTTGTTAATAAAAAATTACCCGAGACCTTCCTGCACTGATCTTCGTTAAGGGTACAGGTGCAACGACCAACTGAGGAAATAACAAGACGCATTACTCAATTAACAAAGATAATTTACACGCCGTACATCCTGTTTTAGAATAAAAACACGCATTTAGCTCTTTTGTGATGCAGTTTATCTAGTCGTTTCCTTAAAAGATTTTTCACATCAATGTGATCCAATCCGCTACTTAGGAACCAATTTTCCAGATGAAAAAAATCTTTTTTGTTTGGCAGTAACATGAAATTGAATTAAAAGTATAAGAAATAGAAATATTCTTGTATCTTTTGCTGGTTTCTGAAATAATTTTTATATGAAGTTTTACAAGTTCAAAATATATGTTTCTGCACAAATGATTATCATTTATGTCACCATTTAAAAAACATATTTCGTAAGTTAAGAAATATATATTCGAGGATTGTCCAGAAAAATCATTTAATAATTCAAGCATTTTAATCGAAGAAAATAGATTTTAAAAAAGGATATTTATCCAATTAAAAGTACATCTCATTTTTTCCCATAAAATTAGACAAAAAAAAATATTATTATTGAATATGTAAAGGGTAAGGTTCTAGGGCGCATGATAAAAGAAATGTATAGGTTTCATTAAAGAATATGTGAGTATTATATCGAAAAATAAAAGTGTATCAAAGATATAATTAGGTTTCCGAATAATCATATTTTAATTGTACTTTCTATTACATGTATAACGTCATTAGGGCAGTTTCCCTTAGTTTTTAAAATTGGTAAGTGGTCAACACAGGAAAAAAAAACCAAGATATTTAATAGGAGTAGTCAAAACGGAGGCTGTTTGATCGAATTCCTGTGTAGAACTAAACAAGGGACAATAACGAGAGACACCATAATTGATTTCCGTTGATATAAGATTGCTATTTTGTTAAAAGAGACTGAGAGTACTGGCTATAACTTACAAATCTTCAGATGGTCCCATATGTGTGCGAGATTGGTTTCTAGAACTTGAAAAGATAGGTAGTCCTTCTTGAAAACGACAAAAACGATGACGTTTTAGAACGGCACGCAGCAGCAGATAACGATACAATTTTGGGTTTTACTTAGGAAAAACCCCGAATAAACTCTGTAAAGGTTGGAGGAATCAAGAAAATATGTCACAAGCGAGTTGTGCATATTTGTACAAATGGTACCATCAGTATTTGAGTGACAGAGACTCTGTATCTTATGAGGACAATCTGTGAAGCTACAGTTTAACTGTAAAAATCTGAACAAAACCTTTAAAAAGCTGGAACGTCAAGGAAAGACATAGGCGCTTCAGAGGTGCTTATCCTGTGAAAGCAGAATTAAGTAAGAAAAGCAATCAAAACCTTAACAAAGAAAATCATACAACGAGAACAGTTCTTAAAAAGTAAATGCCAAGTATAAGAAAAAAGTGTTAATGAGTGGGCATTGAATTTTTGTATACTGTGTGAAAGATAAAGGGAAAGTACTTTTTTTAAAGAAATTCTCGACGCTATGTTTTGACGTTTCATTCCCGTTACGTGTGCTCCGCGGGTACAAATATGTTAATTTTAAAATGAGTAAATTGATTTCTGTTATATCGAATGGAATGAAACTTCACACATCAGCAAAATAGATATTTTTACATATTATATTGTGCTTATTTTAAATTTCCAGTGAGTAATATCACGAAGATTGACATCGTCGACGAACTTTTAGAACACCCCTTGTATATGTAATCAATAGAAGTGAAAAATCTAAAACTCAGTGATGATTTTTTTAAACTTAAGACAACTTGTGGACGATTTTATCAGACAAACCTCGTGTATTTAAAAAGAAACAATATATATATATATATATATATATATATATATATATATATATATATATATATATATATATATATATATATATATATATATTACGGTTGTAGTAATCGGTCGAGACGGGATACTCCTTCATCCATGGCACCTGATCTCACCTCTGATGCCCTGCGCCGATTTAATTTGGTTAATTGACTTCTGACCTTAAATACTGTTCGCTTATCCATATTTTGCATACATAAAAACTTCATATTTTTGTCATGTTTATAGTAAAATATCTGGCTGATAATAAAATGTTTATAACTGAAGTTTTTACACGCAAACGTCATCTAATTTATAAAATACACGGTCAACCTAGAACAAAATGCAAATATCGGCGACCTGAAAGAATGCCATAATGTTGCCGTGCTTTATATTTTTCTTTACAAATTGAGTTTTTGTATGTAAATATGACAGCAAATTTTCCCTCAAGCCAAAAATCGGCACAGAACAACAGATATTTTAAAAACATATGATTTTTGGCCCATTTTCTTAATATAAAAACTGATTATTAAAATGTATAGCAAAATTTTTGTCCAATCTTAATGACATAGAATGCTTGGCATTTTTAATTAACAATATTTTATTGCGCCTATAAGGATAAATAATGGCTAATTATTAACCAAGGGAGCAGTGACCTATCAACAGTGATTTTATATAAATAAGGTACAAAAGACACGGATAATTATAAAAAATCTTCTTAGAAAGATAGAGCTCAACGATTTCCTTCCTTTTCTGTACTAATAGGCAGAATACTTCAGGCATCAAAATCATTAAGTAGTCTCAGACTTAAGTCACAATTAATAGATGTTCAATGTATAAATGATTGTAATGTTGACTCAAGTCTAAGACTGTTAAATGATATGATTTTTAGGTCCTTGTTTGCTGATATTTTTTCGTGAAAAAAAATCCATCTCGTACATATTAAATGGATATTGTGCTTCGTTTCCCCAACACATTTTTGAATTAATCTTGGGAATTATTTCTTTTTACACTTTTTTTGATTTTTTTTTTACTTTTCGATAGAATAAGAAATTCATTTGAAGTAAATCAATAAGCAAAGGAAATGATCAGTTCAAAAAGCAATATGACTTCAATTTTTAAATAATATCCTAATCAATTTAATCGATTTACCTTTGGTACAAAATTTTCCCTTCCTTTGAAATATGTAAATAAAAACAATGAACAATCACATTAGTACTGTAACAATTTTTAAAGTGTGAAAAAAAAAAGCGAGAGATTGGATGCTTAAATGGAATATATTGAAATAAGGAACATTATTCGAGCCCATAAAATAATACAACATAGGAACAGAACCTCTAAACATAAGAGGTTGGATCAGGTGCCATAGAGCAGTGAGCATTCCCTGGCGACCGTTGTCACATAACTTCAACTTTATAGAAGTATTGCTGTAATAACAAAACGAGAGCTTTTATTGATAGCAATAAACTATTGTTGAAATCGTTGAATGCTTATGATTCTTTATGTAAAATATCCTGAATGTTTTTCTTTTAATTTTTTTAATTTAGCGATTTTTATATATATTTTTGAATATCAATAGTTCAATTACACCCCTTCTTGAAAATTCCCCAACATTATCTTTTTGAAGTCGATCTAAAGATTCGCCTAGAAAATGGACATCTTGGAAAATTCCAGAGATGTATTTTAAGACTTTTAGTTCCTAATTTCGAACTTAACAGTTATCTTCTTTCTTTTATTTTGAAATGACAATCGTAAATTACAGTTCATGTTAATCAACTTACTAATTTGAAGCATAAGGTCAGATTCTCATTCACATATTTCTGGATAAACTTGCATAAGATATTTGGGGGAACATGTTTATTGATCAAAGACACACAAAAGACAAAAACATATATATTCATATGAAAATGTGGATTCAATGTCTACCCATTATGCAACCTTGTGTTATCAGTAATATCCAAAGTGTCCAAAGTTTCTGACAATCATTTCCTATGTTTGCTCAATGTACACTTCAAAGACTTCTTCAATAAATGGAAAACAATGCTTTGTTTGAATCATTCGTTCTCATTAATTCCCACGTCTTCCCATCGTTTGATTTTCAGCCATTGGATGTCGAGCTGAAAAAGGAAATATCCATTAATTTTGATAGACATAAAAAGTGAGCAGGAGCTTGATCAGGAAATTAATGATGAACTTAAACTTAGTATTGACCTTTTTAAAACTATACTATTTCATTGCATGCAAAGTTAAGTGAAAAGACGTAGTTTTTAAAACTATTAATTCAGATCTCTCGCAATTTCCAATTCCGCATTTCAAATGTATGCTTTAAATATTGAACTCAATTATTATGCTTAATTTCCTTGCTTTAATTGATCTACATTAATGTTTCATCTTCTCATATTTCATTATATATTAACATTTTCCTAATGCAAAACAATTAAACCCTTGACCTTATAATGATAATGGCCTTTGAATGATATTCAATATTTTCAGAGATTAGCATAACTTAGATTCTTTGGTATTTTATAAATACTCGTATACATTGCCCTGTATTTCAGAGGGATATCATTTTGATAATTTCTAAGTATTATTTAATATTAAACTCACTGCAATCACATTTAGCGGGGCAGTATTCCTTGAGGATTTGAGCATCCTCTGACATGCAGTCTTCTGTGGTCACCAACTCACAAATGTCCCAGTTTTCATACATTTGGGGATTTACGCAGTCTTCTGTTCAAAGGATTTCAAAGAATTTTAAATATGAAAGGCTACTTAGACACAACTTTCCTAGCAACCCTCTTAAAAATTCAAATGAAAAGGCTTATCTGATTTTTTTTTCCAACCACTTTCATAAATTTAGAAAGATATTTCTTTGAAGTTATATTCATTGGTTGTAGTAACATTTATAAATTTTCTAATCCTATGATCTCAAAAGCACGTAGTCGAATCCTTCTGTCTTGATTTACTTTGTCTACAAATAAAGAAATACGTCTATTTCCTTTCTTAAAAAATGAAAAATCAGGGACTTTCTTGTCTAGGTGTAACCGTAGAATTGCAATATTTAAGCCGCTGTAACAGCTGCGTTCAAGGAAATGGTTGTTTTTGTCTAAAGAAACTGTAGATTTCTTTTTATATCAAGTTGAATATTTTTCCACACATCTGTCACTTTAGACTTACGGTAAGTCATAAGTCTTCATGCAAAAGAAAAAATTCAATGTCAGACAACTCCAATGCGTCATTATTATTACCTTCCTTCATAAGAAATAGCCAAGACCAAGGACAGAGGCACCTCTAGAAGGGTCATTTATTTGTCATATTGTGTATGTTTTCTACATAAGCTAATTTCATTTTTCAAAGAAAAAGAAATCAAACATATACAGGATGAATGAAATGTAAACCGGAATGGTCACTCAAAGAGAAACACTGAAAGCTTTTGATAGATACCTAGATGACATTTATTCACCTAATTGTAATTTACATTTATATATATTTTTTGATTGAATGGCTTTATCATCCTAATGAGATAATTTTGAGTTGTTCCAATAAAAGTAAATAATGTATTTCACTTTTTGTTACTTTTTTTCTCCGGTAAGTTTAAACTTTTTCTTGTGATAAATAACCGCACAATCCCCCAAAGCAATAATACGTGTTCCCATTTAATTTTTGTCCTATTCGAGTGTATCATTAAATCTCTTTTTCTCAGCCTATTTCTTTTGACAGCAGGAAAGTTACAAATGTCAATAGCTCCTTATTAAGCACGTGGGATTCATAAATAAAATAAACAGCTAGTCAGTACACCTAGGGCATGACTAGATAGCTAAAATACATCAATCTAGTTTATTTTTTGTACAATTAAACTTCTAGGCTCATTTTAGCTAAGAAAGTACATAAGTAGTTACATGTAGCAAAGAAGTAAAAGAAAATTGAGTGACGGAGGGAAAAATAAAAAAAATTGCTAACCTTCATATTCAAAAATATAACCATGATAGTTCATTAAACAATACGAAAAGATTATGTTTCATTTTAATCATACATTATTCATACTTAAAAATATATATAATTTTGGTCTAAGATAACATTTTACCGTCACAGTTCGGGCCTTTTCCGTAGAGGCATTCGCAGGTACAGGTAGAGTTTACCAGTGCTCCAACACCTATTCCTGGCTTGTTGCAGGTTTTTCTGCAATCTATGATATTCAAATTAACATATGCATGTTAAAGACACATCGCTTTCATCCTCATGTAATTAATATGATTTATATAAAAAAAAACAATGAGTCAATGTCTTAAGTCAATTGTTGATAAGTCATTGGTATAAAAAATCAAGATCAATATCATTAAGAAAATGGGTATTTAAACTTACCACAACTAGCACTGTTCTCCGTTTTGCAAGTATCTGCAAAGACAACAAAAACGTTTTTCACAAAGAAAAAAAATCAAGAGTAACTTTATAAAATATATCTAGCTAGTTTGTATATATACAGAAGTTCTTAATGTACTTAAAGAAATTTAACCAACTTTCTATGCTCAGCAGCAAAAATATTTTTACATACAAAACAAGTTTATTCATACAATTTATATTCGTTCATGATTTTTGTACGCATGCTTTGGGAACGATTTAATAAAAAAACAAAAAACATAATTTAGAGATTAGCATCTGCCCTTTTATGAGGATTAATTTATCCGTAATACATAAACTGGCATAAAGGTAAAACCATTCCATAAAACAACTGCTAAATGTCTTTCATCTATAAAACAGGGCTAGTCTTTAACTGCAAGTAAATGTAACTAATGCCCTGTAATTACCATTTATGATCTGTTAGAAATTGAATTCCTACATTCAGAGAAATGAAAACATTTACAAAGGTGATCGGAAATGATCGATTAGACTTTATATAAACATAAAGGATCAAATGATGTAATCTACTATCATTGAAAAAGTACACATTACTGTGATCGTAAATCTGTTGTACTATAAAAAAGATATGGTTATCTTAAATACGGTTAACTATTTTAAGGAAATTCTTATATGTATATTTCAATATATGAAATATGTGACATTGAAGCAATAATAAATAAGAATACAGGGCAAATTATCAATGCATTTTAATAAATAATTTTGTAAAGTAAATAAATGTAATAAAAATACGAAATAAGTGATAATTTATGTTATGTTCCAGATATTTCAATATTATTTAATTTTTATTGAAAACCCTTGAAAAATAGATATTTGTTCAAGTATGGATAGCACTCGCACACAAAGCTTTTGTCAGGAAGAATCAATATGCCGTTGATGATAGAATGTAAACTGTCTTTGTTATGATGTCAATGGCCGAGATCTTGTGAGGTTATGAAAGAAAATAATACCATATTAATGTTACCATGGTGATACTTACCTATATAAAATATATAAAACATTAATCAGATGAAAATAATCTATTAAACATCAGATGAAAATAATCAATGAAAACTCTCTCTCTCTCTCTCTCTCTCTCTCTCTCTGTGTCTCTCTCTCTCGTTGATTTCACATCAATAACATACTAGCTTATTTTATCTGCAGGGAAATAATTACATGGAATCTTTGATTCCATAACTGAATTCCCTGAAAGACTAACACCTCTGTATTCCTGACTTTTATTTTCATCTTTCGTGATAAAAATCAAACTCTCAACGCCCGCGGAATGCCAATCCCTCTCTACAAATTGTTGTTAACGAATTAAAATCACCTTCCTTCCTATAACATCCTATGCATTTATTTCAATGTATCCTTTATTTGATGAAGCAGACCTAAGCTTGTGTGAAAGAGAGGAATTGTCTTAACATCCATTTATTGTTTTATTTATTTCATCAGAACCTTTTTTGATTGTGAAAGTAATTGAAACGTAAAATTGTGTTTTATGCATTCGCTCAGTTATGATAAGAAATTTACTATTCGAGACATTAATTCTAGATTCAGGGACTTTGGATTTTATTAGTTTTATCTTTGATTTGATTTGGACATATTTCATTGTAATTCAAAATTACAAAGGGATTGGGCACAAGTTCTTAAAACTTGTAGCGCCCTTTTCCTATCTTTATCTTTAAAAAAGAAATATGTAGAAAAAATGATTTTCTTCGAATATCAACGTTTACATATGATGAATGAAAAATGAATCACCTTTTAATATCAATATTGTATATCACATGGGAAACTTCTAGTTGATTAAACCTTTTTTGATTGTGAAGGTAATTGAAACGTAAAATTGTGTTTTATGCATTCGCTCAGTTATGATAAGAAATTTACTATTCGAGACATTAATTCTAGATTCAGGGACTTTGGATTTTATTAGTTTTATCTTTGATTTGATTTGGACATATTTCATTGTAATTCAAAATTACAAAGGGATTGGGCACAAGTTCTTAAAACTTGTAACGCCCTTTCCCTATCTTTATCTTTAAAAAAGAAATATGTAGAAAAAATATCAACGTTTACATATGATGAATGAAAAATGAATCAACTTTTAATATCAATATTGAATATTACATGGGAAACTTCTAGTTGATTAACTTTGTACTTAGCAATGATGTAAATGTTCACTGGACATATAATTAAGCAAAAAATGGTAAAGATGCCCTCAAATACGGTGCTCACGCTAGTCCTCTTGATCTTTTCGATTTTTAAATGACTTTTTGTTGGATCCATCTCTTTATCCCCATAACAAGTCTTTAACCTATATTGGTGTCCTACGCCTTCCCAAAGGGGTTTTGATTTTACTGAACCTAAAACCTACCAATACTGGGATTCTTCCGTTTCCACTTGGAGATCAGTTTGTTTTATCACGGTTTTTCATTTGAAAAAGTATTTCACACAAAAGACGAGAGTTTGTACATCAAAATGATTAAGTTCAGACCTCATTATCTTATGAATTTTTTTTATTTTCTATGCACCTGTATCCCCCAATTAAAAGAAAACTTAGAAGACCAATTTCATGCTTTAGATCATTGAATAGTAGAATCTTTATCTGCTGCCATAAGTTTTTCCATATTTGTAATTTAACGTTTTCTGTGCCTACTCCCTGCTTCCCCACAAAAGCCAAAAATACTCTATGTGTAATGATTCGTTTCGGTATTGAGTTTGAATCGTTTTCACTTTTTTTTTGATTGTTGGGAATGATATTAACTAACTTTGATTTGCACAACATGAAAATTACACTTTAATATGACTAATCACAGCTATTCCCTAGAAGATAATGCTTAGATCGAATATTCAATTCTTTAGTCTGGTTAGGTTGAAAAAATGATATGAAAAAGTCGTCATCACATGCGTCACAAGTAAATAAGTGAATATTTATTCCAAGTTTACCCTGGGTTTTGCGTTAGCGTAATGAAGTAAAATAAAGTCGAATCCTATATAAAACAGTTTAAACAACATTGATGGTTAAGTATTAAAAATTGGGATGGAAAGAATCTTCCAATAATTTGAAGGTGAATATGATTGTTATCCAACTTGTTGTGGGTTTTTATACCCTCGCCAAGGCCCTGGGGAAAACAAAGAAATCGTGAGATAAAAATCATATCCTACTACAAATCATGGGATATTCTATATACATTACTCATAAATTCATCAGAATGACTATGAAATTTACTAAATACTAGTACTATTTCTATTTATCATTGAGTCAAATGCTGACTGATTTTTTTCATAATTATTTGTAATTCCATTATTTATACAGCAATATAGCTTCACCAGAAGCTGCATATGGAATTTTTATATCTTAGTTGATTCGATACACAAGAGCACTCTCTTCGTATGAACGATTTCTAAAACGAGGTAAATTATTAACAAACAAGCTGATGAAACAAGAATTTCAACAGTCTCGTTTAAAGTCATCATTTCGTAAGTTTTATGGGCGATACAATGACCTTGTCATCAGCAAATACAATTTATCATTGAGTTAAATGCTGATTATCGTTTTTCATACTTATTGTTAGTCCATTATTTATACACTGAATTGACGATGGATTTTTCCGTTATTTCCCGATCATGACAAGAAGCACACGACAGGTGTGACCGGTCGGCAGGTGATGCTCACTACTCGATGGCACCTGATCCCATCGCTGATGTTTTGGAGGTCCGTGTTTGCTATGTTCCTATTTTGGATTGTTTTGTGGACATTTGATCTTGAGTACTGTTCGTTATCTCCGTATATTTCTTTCTAACAAGTATTTTGTTAAATCCCTGTAGCATGGCAAGTTTTATTGAATAGTGAAAAAAAATGAAATAATAATAATAATAAAAGATCTTAGCCAAAGTTTGCATACAAGTTTAGAATAACTTGGCAGAGTTGGCATGTGTGAACAACATATGGATCGTATCACGATATAGAAAAAATAATTTGTCGATGGGAAAGCCGACTTGATCTTTTTTTCATATAACTAAGTAGCGGCTTTTTCTACCGTATTGTCTATTCTTAATACAACGTCAAAATATGCGACAAATGAGTAAATCGCTTTACAACTTTAATTTCAGGTCGCTAAGATAAATGAGACGACAGGTAACAGATATATTGAATCGACATGTAAATGAATAAATAGTTTAAGAACTAGAAAACAAATATCAAAACATTTATTGCATTTAACTTATTTTACGAATAAATGTATAATTTTATGTGTAAAAATATTCTGAAGAAAGAAAGCTTACAAAGCCCTTTGCCCTTTTGTATTAAAGGAGAGAGAGCTAGATGAACTTATGAAAAGGGAATTTAAAGATTCAATAGAATAAAAATAAAGAAGTACAAAAAGTGGTATATGTACAGAATTATATTGTAAATATAGTTTCCTCTTTGTAGGACTTGAAGGAAATATGTTAATTTCAAAAGCTCTTGTGTGAGACAAAATTGCCAATTCTATTTTTATTATATATTGAACTATAACAAAAGATGTAGACTTTAAAGACATTTTTTTTCAAATGTATTCGATATTAATATATCAAAAGAAAGACAACTCTTAATGCATGAAGTTCGCCATGACTAGCTGCGCCTGACAATTATTTTATTCATCCTTGAAAATGATATGAACATGGGTAGGTGGTGGAGGGTATTAGAAAAAACATCGTAGTTTTAGAATGTTAAGACACTTTTATTTCAAAGCTAGCTCCGATAGGTCAAATAATGATGTTTCTATCATATATTTCAAATTGTCATTAAAAGTAAAAAAAGGGGATTTAATATTCTTGACTGGCATTGCACGTTACTATACTTTTTGAACTATACTATGAAAACGCTTATTTTCTTTCTTGCATAGAGGACTGGGAAATTTTAAAAGATTTTAATGACATTAAAGTATTAAATCTAGAAAGCAATAAATAATCATAGCTTAAATAATAGAAGATACATTGAAAAATAAATATGTATAATA